TTAACCATTCATTATGTATTCCCTTGCACTTTGGGATGACAAACAAGGCATCACCTCATATGTATAAGTTAACAAAGCTGGAGGAACACAGCAGGCCAGGCAGCAACAGAGGAAAAGGAAAGCTGATGAAGGGTCCTGATCCAAAACGTCAGCTTTCCTGCTCCTCTGATGCTGCCTGGCCTGTGTGTTCCTCCAGCTCCACACTGTGTTATCTCTGACTCCAGCATCTGCAGTTCTTGCCATCTCATCACCTCACGTGTCTGGATTTGCGGAAGAAACAATAGCGTCAAAAGAAAAGCAAAGATGGACAATAAAAGCAAAGCCAACATTATGACATTGAAACTCATGATGTCACTGTGAGGAGCGCTTCAAATAAAGTTGATGAGTTATCTTTGTGACAACTTGTCACAGCATTGCAGCTGCAAACTAATCTGAGCTGAAAAAAGGTTCAGCATAACTGTGCTTCTGTTATACATGATGCCTTTTTGAATGGCATCCTATATCCAATTTGGCTTTTTCATATACATTGGCACTGTCAAAGACCAATCCACATGAACCACACCTGCAGTCCCTCTGCCACTGTTGCATTTGGTCAAAATTGGTCCTCCTTTCCAATTTGCCAAAACACATCACCTCATATTTCTCTGGACTAGATTCCATTTGTCATGTATTTATCAAGAGAGAGTCTTATAAACACAGCAGCATCCACACTTGATACCTAGCATCTAATGCACACAGCACATCCATACTTGATACCCAGTGACTGATACGCACAGCATCATTCACACTCAATATCAGGTGGTGTGCCTTGTGGATACAGCTTTGTCATTACCCGATGTAGTTTGAAGAATCGCTCAATATCCTCTCCCTCTCCACCTGCGTTGCTCACGAGGAGATGACGTAGTTGGTCCACAGGACGTAATTTCTGGAAAAAATGGCTGCCCTGCAACGATAGAAAGGTTACAGAAGGTGGCAAGAATGAGAAGGTGTTGAAAACAGAAACAGAGAAAGGTGACAGAAAGATCATGAATCAAAGTGGCAATGGGAAGACAGAATATTTGGATTCCTGAGTCAGGGGAGATAGACAAAAAGGGGGAACATAGGTGAAGACAGAATGGGTGGGAACATGGTGGGCGGATGTGGAGCATGAGACAGACAAGAGACAGATCTGGGTGACAAAATGTGTTCTGCACCCAAATGCTTGTAGGTCTCAAATATTCTTGTTCTACACTGGTGAACACCTTCTCCTGTTCAAGAGGAGGGCAGACAACAGACTAGCCTTCTGCGGATGCTTGAAGCACGAGAAGAAGAATCTGGTCACGTAAGGTCTGATGCAGGAATACATAGGGTTGGTCAGGGTGAACATGGTCCAGCAAGGCACCAAGTTGAGAGGAGCGTGTCCTGGCAATCTGAGCTGAGGAGGGAGACTGGGTGGCACTTCTCAAGATGGAGCATAGTTGATCCCCATGTCATGTCAAAACTTTGCGTGAGGGACTGCACAGACAGGTCCTCCAGCTCCCAAAAACTTGTCTCTGGAGAGGTTGATGAGAGTTCCAGTCCTGAGACAGCACCTTCCAGACATACAAATACTCCCCTTTAGAAGGACAAGGGCATCAGATACATGGGAACAACACCACCAGCTCCAAGTTCCTCTCCAAGCCACTCACCATCCTGACTTGGAAACGTAACACCATTTCTTTACGGCACTGGGTCAAACTACTAGAATTCCCTCTCTCAGGGCATTGGGGACCTACAGCTTGTGGACTGCAGTTATTCAAGAAGGCAGCTCACCATCACCTTCTCAACTCAGAGAGAGACAGAGAGAGACACACACACAGAAAAAAGGAACAGAGAGAATCTCAATTTTCAATCTTTTCATGGGTGGCGGCATCGCTGGCTAGACCAACATTTATTGCCCATCTGAATTGTCCAGAGGGTAACTAAGAGTCAACCACGTGCTGTGGGTCTGCAGTCACATGGAGACCTGTTAACGATGGTAGATTTCCTTCCTTCAAGTACATTCAGGACCCAGATAGGTTATTAAATACATTCAATACAGACACAGACAGAAAGAGAGACTGAGAGAGATAAAGAAGAGACAGAGAGAGACACAGGGAATTAGAGAAGAAAGAGAGCGAGTGAAAAAGAGATATATAGACCAATCACTGAATTAGTTCCCACCACCTCCCCAACACATACCTGTGCTGTAAGTAGGATAAATCTTTTGGGAGGTGCCAAATGCTGGACTATTACAACTGGTGGGTCAGTGAGGGGGACACGGTCTTTGTTGAGTGGAGTAACAATCTTTTGAAGCTGGGAGTGGTCAATGGAGGATAGTGCCCATGAGTGACCATCAATATTTGCTGTCATCTGAAAGACAAATTGCGTCAACTGAGCACGGGGAACGTGCAAGATCTGAAAGGTGAACCTCGCCCTAACCCTAGCCAAAGTTCAGCCCCCAACCCTCACCTCAGGTCCAGAATCAACCCTGGACCCATCCCTTCCCCCAGTCCAGTTCATGGGTCTGGAATCAGCCCCGTTCCCAAATCCGATCCTGTGCCCAGGTCCAGAAACTGCCCTCAACAACAGTTCTTCTTCCTCAGTCCGGAAGAAGGGTCATTGGAGCCGAAAGGTTAACTCTGATGTTTTCTTCACAGCTGCTGCCAGACCTGCTGGGCTTTTTTCAGCAACTTCTGGTTTTGCTCCAGAAATTTCTGTCCCAGGTCTGGCCCCGGCCCAGTTCCCGCCTCAAGGCCTGGACCCAGACCAACTCCGGATCCAGGTTTGCACCCAGTCAAACAATTGGAAATTTTTGGTTGATATGAAACCTGGAATCATTTCAAAATGTAGAGATGGTAGAAGGGAATTTAAAATGGATGAAAATAAACAGTCAATTAAATGGGCGGTAATGTAGCGCATGAAATTCAATGTGGATAATCACAGAATCGTACAGTAGAGACCCAATGGCCCATCAAGCCTACACTGACAAAACTACTCTCAATCAACATAAATATCACTTTCCAGCACTTACGTAGAGTGTGACAGGATTAATTTTTGTAGCAAGAACAGGGAGAAACAATATAAAACAAAAGGTACAATTCTAAAGGGGGTGCATGAGTAGAAAGACCTCGGTGTACCCGTGCCCAGATCAATGAAGGTGGTGGAAAAGGTTGAAAGAGCAGTTAGTACAGTATACAATATCTTCAGTTTTATTAACAGGGGCATAGAATGTAAGAGAAAGGAGGTTAAGTTTAACTTCTTTAAGACATTAGCCCAGGTTCAGCTGGTGCAGCGTGTCCAGTTCTGAGTGTTACATTATAGGATGGATGTGAAGGCATTGAGGACTGTGCAGACAAAGTTACAAAAATACATCCAGGTACTGAGGAACTTCAGTTATGTGGATATATTGGAGAAAATAGGACACTTTTCCTTGGAGAAGAAAATGCTGGGAGGGAGACCTGACTGAGGTATTCAAATTCATTAGTGACCTGGGCAAGGTGTTTTTTTTGGTAGTTTGGGAAAGACTGCTCACAAACCTAAAAAGATTGAGCACACAAGGTGATGAAAGATTTAAAGTAAAAACAACACCCTGGGAAAAAGCCTAGCAGGACTGACAGTATCTGTGGAGACAGAAACAGTTATCATTTTGAGTTCAAAATGATTCTTCTTCAGCACTGACAAGAGGTGGAAATATGTAAAGAAGGGGGAAGTAAAAATGTTAAAGGAAAAGGAACTGTTGGGCAAAGGTTAGAAGGCAAAGATGTTGAGAAATCAAAGGTGTCGCAAAGAACACAGTATTGTTGTGAATAAAGGACAACGCGTTTGCTCAGATTCAGTGCTGAAAGCAAAACAAAGACCATCGTTGACAGAAAGCGAGAACATGAAAACCAGATGCATAATGCAGGGGGTGGAAAGAAACAAAAATGAAGGACACAGTTCATGGTCTGACATTGCCGAACTCAATTATGAATTCAGCAGTTTAAAAAATTATAAAATGCTAAAAAAAAAAGCACCTAATCGGAAAGTGAGGTGCTGTTCCCCCAGTTTGGATGGAACAGTACAGCAGGCAGAGGACAGAAATACAAATTGGAGAACAAGATGGCGGATTGAACCGGCAAGTGAGAGAAGGCTTAGGTCATACTTGCAGAGTGAGCACAAATGGTCGCCAAGGGGGAGGAGTGTGTGCTTGAGGAGCCGTAATTTGGACAAGACCACATTGTGGGTACTGAATACAACAAACTACACATGTCAATTGCTGACTCACCCAAGTGAAGCCTTGGACGGTGAGGATGGGAGATGTAAAAGGACAAGTGTTACATCTCCTTGTGATTGCATTGGGCGGGGGCATTGGGAAGGGGAAATGAGAAGTTGAAAGTGTGACAGAGGAATGGACCAGGCTATCTCACGAATGGTCCCCATGAAATACTTGTAATTACTTCAAATAAAACTCATGTGTAGCTGAGTCACAGCAGTGCAGCGAATGTGGGGGTGAATGGCAGCAGCAGGAGGTTCTGGATAAAAACCTTAAGAGTAGGGCCCAATTCAAGCTCACTTGGATCAGGAGTGGTGCGAAGCAACAGTTTGAAAGGAGTGGAGCACGCATGCAGGACAGGGAGAGAGCGAGAGCGCGCGCGGGACAGGGACAGGGAGAGAGCGAGAGAGCGCGCGGGACAGGGAGGGCACGAGAGCGCGCGACAGGGAGGGCACGAGAGCGCGCGCGCGCGGGACAGGGAGGGCACG